CGGGGACCGGGGGTCGAGGTGAGGCCAAGGCGCGGGGCCCGGGTCCGGGCGCGCGGACCCAGCTTGTTCTCACACGCGGGGTCTCGTAGGCGCACTCGACATGCAGAACGACGCCGGTGAGTTCGTGGACCTGTACGTGCCGCGGAAATGGTGAGCGCCGCAGCATTTAATTTTACCTTAAAACGCCAATACAAATACCACCCCTCCGCTCACTACGCTCTCCCCGCAGCTCCGCCAGCAACCGCATCATCGGCGCCAAGGACCACGCGTCCATCCAGATGAACGTGGCCGAGGTGAGCCTGGGGCGCTGGGGCTTGGACGAGGTCCATCCCAGACTAGAGCGAGGGCGTGCCTGGCCCCGGGGTTGATGATCCCCCAGACCCCAGGTTTAGAGCTAAAGGAGCTCGAGTGCCCGTCTGATGATCCTCATTCTCCATCAACAGGTTGACAAGGTGACAGGCAGGTTCAATGGCCAGTTTAAAACCTACGCTATCTGCGGGGCTATCCGCAGGATGGTGAGTCTCCTGTACGTGGCTCATCTGTGGGCTTCTGGGGGTGGGGTAATGGAGAACGGTGTCTTAGACTCTCTCTCAGGCCTGAGTCCGTTTGTTGGAATAGGTTTGAGCCTATGGAACTGGGTTGCACTGGTTGTCCGCCTATTCCTGGGGGGGGTGGGGTGAAGGGGGGGAAAGGATGCTCAAAGGCCCCAAGCAGGACCACCCTTTTACCTTGGAACCTCCCACTCATCACACTCCATCTCCAAAGGCCTTTCCCTGTCCAGTGAGGTCTGAGTAGTGAGACTGGGAGAGAGCCCGCCACTAGGGCTGGGTGGTCCCTGGTGGACCCGCCAGCTCATAGTTCCAATGTGCTTTTTCTCAGGGTGAGTCAGATGACTCCATTCTCCGACTGGCCAAGGCCGATGGCATCGTCTCAAAGTAAGCCATCTCAAAGTCGAGTTTGGGGACGGGCTGGGACTTTTCCGGAGACGAGGCTTTAATGTTGTTTTTCCTTTTTGTTTAGGAACTTCTGACTGAAGGCATCACAGATGTGAAATTTGTCATAAATAAACAGTGGAAACACCCCCCCATGTTGGTTCATTCTGTGCTGGGCTCTGGAGGGTTAGAGCTGACATTCTGCTGTGAATGGGTGAGGAGGCGGTCAGCTCACTGAAAGGAGGTGACTTATAAAATATGCTGCAAAACCACATTTTACTTTAAAGCACAAATACAAACACTTGTGACACAACTTGGCATTGAGGTCAGATAGTTGCTTAACGCACAATTAAAAACCACAACTGCTACTGGGTTCTGAGCAAGTGGCACTGGGCCGTGGACCAACTCAGAGGTCGATTGGGTCTTCTTCCAGAGGACAGGGATTCAGGCTGAGGATTGGCTTTAAATACTGGCTTTTCTGCAGGGATTCTTGAGTACCACACAGTGGCAGCTCCAGCATCACTAAAGGACACAGCTGGGAAGGTTACAGATGAGATGGGCAAATGGCTAAATCTTAATACATAAATGTGCAAACTTAAATTACCGTATTTCTCAGCTGATCTAACTTTAGTCCGTATAGAAATTCCTGAAGAGACAGGTCCTTCAAGGCTAAGCTGTAAACCGGGACGTTTTGAGAGTCCCTTAACAGTGCTTGTAACAAGTGTTCTTGAGATACATGGTGGCAGGACAGGTTGCTTTCCAGAAGTTGCTGGGGCCTAGCACCTTACACCCTCCGATCTAGCTTGGTTGCATGTTGGGTTTAGGAAGCCATCTTGGAGAGGGAGGCACACTGCAGTAAGTTTGGACCATGGACACAGGCGTGATCCTCCATCCTGCAGTTTTCCTTTGAGTGGCAGAAGGAACAGACCTGCAGGCAGCAAGTGGATGGGTGGTTGGCCTGCACCTCGCCTGGGGTCTGGGCCGAGTTGCTGGTGGTTGGGTGCTGTGATGAGCAGAACTGGCTGTTCTGCAAAAGCACCAGCCCACACACAGTACAAGATGGGGGCTGACCCAGGGCCCCTCCAGTCACAGGTCTGTAGCACAATAGGAGCAGCTTGATCATAGCCATCTTTCAGGCCAGCTGACTCGCCAGTCCTGAACGTGTCTTTGGTGGGGCAGCGAGCTGGAGAACTGGACAACAGTTCGTACAAAGGGCAACAAACCTGGAAAGGCAGAGCATGGGCCTTAGTAGGAGGGAGGATCACTGGCAGCTGGGGTCAGAGTGTGACTGCACCGGCCAGTTGTCGGACAGCCTTGGGAGAAGGGCATTGAGCCGACCTCTTGGGGAAGCTGTGCTGTGGGCTGTGAAGTAGTCGGTCTCCTTGCAGCTTGAACAAGTGTGGTTTCAACTCACAGCTTCACACATTTAACTAGTTTGTGTTCCCTTATGAGAAACACAGAACAGAATCCCAGATGACAATAGGCTGTTCTGTCATAATATTGCTTAATAAGATCAAAAGCCACACTCCAGCAATGCAGTCATCTGAAGATCCAGTGTCGCAGGCCAGTGGGTTTTCTGGATGAGGTGAAGGGGCAGCTTGTGTTTGCAGAGGCCTGCTGGCCTGCGTAACACTCAGGTACGAGGACTTCAGTGACATGATGCTTGGAAGAACGGGTCCAAGAATAAAACTCATCAAAACCAGGAGTCTTCTCTGCTCTGCTTGTGGATGTGGGGAGGGGAATGGACAGTGGGCTGGGCAGGGTGTGTTCCAGTGCTTTCCACATCCAGAAATTGGAAAGTCAAGATTAATGCTTAACTTCATTAGCTTCAGGGACTTGAGTGTGCTCAGCAGCATCTGGAAACAGTCACCACTGTGATGCCATTCAGTGGCTACGATGGTATGTGGAAGGCAAGGCAATGCAAAGGAGAAAGATGCCATGACGTCAGGATCCAAGGCATAAATTACAGTCCTGGTGCCAGGCCAGTCTCAGGCACGTGGAAAAAGGGAAATGACAAATCCCACATTCTGTCCACATGAGAACGCAGGAATATTCCCCAAAATACCATGGTGATGTGGTGCTTTGGAATGAAAGCATGGCCCCCAAGGAAGAAAGTGTGAAGGCAGGGTCGGTGTGTCCCAGCTAGGAGGGTGAGGCCACGGGGGCCAGGGGTGCACTTCACTGCCTGGGAACAGCTCCTGGGGTCCACAGACCGTGTGCCGAGTGGCGCGGGCAGCAGACTAGAACTGCTGTGTGAGGCGTCTGTAATGAGGTAACACCTGGTTCTCGGGAAGATAAAGAGCAAGTTCCAAGGCCACAAGCACTGTGAACTCGAACCCAATTAGATCCCGTCTGTTGAATCGAAACCTTTCTTCTAACTTCTGCATTGAGGAAGAGAGAAGGGTTAAGCCGAGGTCCCTTGCTCTGGTTCCTAAGCCAGCAGGTTTGGGAGTGGCGGCTGGCCCCGCTCCAGGTTAGTGGGCAGTGACCTCCCTCTCCAGGGGTAGTGCCCAGCCTTATAAGTGCTGGCTGGGGTGAGGCCTGGGTGGGGCAGCACTGGCTTGGGATGGAGTGGGGGCTGGGGAGGGGCTGGGGGGCCGGAAGGGTTGAGTGCACTCACATCTATGAGCTGCTTTACTTCGTTCTTGCGGAGGTCACTGCTGATCTTGGCAGCAAGCAGCACACAGGCGCCTGCGCACAGCTTGCGGTTTTGCTTGTTGAGCTTGCCTTGCAGGACAAGCTTCTCGAAGTACACGTAGGCCATGGACACAGTCACAGGCTCCAGGTTGCACTCCTCAGACAGGTTCCGCATCTCACGTTTTAAACTGCAGGTTTATAGGGAAATCAGGTGCTCTTGGAGTGGAGGAAACACCGCCCCCCCGCCCCCCCCATGACACAGGGCCATTAGAACAGCTCTGTTCCTTCCAGGCAGGCGTAGCCCAGCACCAGGGCCCACAGCTTGGTGGGTAAGCAGTGTGCTGGTCTTGGGCCCCACTTGCCCCTTGGCTGAGTCCTACGCTGCCCTCCCCCCGCACTGTACCAGGTGTCCCACACTGTCCTCTAGGGGCTGCCACAGAGGACAAAGTCCCTGCTCTCCTGTGGTAGCAAGAGGACCCTAGGAGCCCTGGAGCTGCTGGGGTGGGATGTTAGTAGTAGGATTTGGCAGCGCAGGACCCCAGAAGGGGCAGTGACCAGGAGCCCTGCCTCGGCCAGCAGCTCCAGCACTTGCTCACTGTGAGGCTATAGGCAAGCTGCCTTGGCCTGCGAGTTCCTCTACTGAATAGAGTCAATGGCAGTGCCTGCCTCATGGGGTGTTGTGGGCACCAGTGAGGAGGACTCAGTGGGTGGGGGCAGCTGCAAGAGGCAAACAGGCAGCCTGACTGGCAGAGGCGTGCATGTGTACGCATGTGCATGTGTGTGTGCGTGTGTTACTGGCCTGGTCAGAGGGTGGGAGGGGGCATCTGGATCTTCAGGCTCAGGAACCAACGGGAAATGGGAAGATAGGCCTACAGGGCCTCATAGGATGACACACATTAGAAGTGGGTTTTGGGCCACTCGGTTGGTGTGGCTCAGTGGTTGATTGTTCACCCAGGAACCAAGAGGTCACTGGTTTGATTTCCAGTCAGGGCATATGCCAGAGTTGCGGGTTTGATTTCCAGTGTGAGGTGTGCAGGAGGCAGCCAATCGATGTTTCTCTCTCATTGATGTTTCTCTCTCTCTCCCTTCCTCTCTCTCTAAAAAATTCAATAAAAACATTAAAAAAAAAATGAAGTAGGTTTGGGGGATGTCCTTGGCTCTCCCTACCTCCTAATTTTGCTCAGTGTTAGTCTGACGTGTGGAAACTTCTCTCGGAATGTCTCATTCATGTCCTTCTTGAGGTCGGAGGGCTTCACGTATTCAATCACCGTGGTCTGAAACACAGAGGGCAGCAGGGTAGGGCCGGGCCACTGAGGCAATTTCACGTGGTCAGGCCTGCAAACGTGAATGCACTGAGCCTTCAGAGCGCACCAGGTCTGTGAGGATGACACGGCTCTGGACAGAGGGCAGTGGAGCTGAATGCACAGCAGGGATCCAGGCTGTGGAGCACGTGGGCTGAACCCCAGGGTGGTAGGGCCAGCACTGCTCTCTGGCCTGCTGCACACCCCCTCCCCGTGGTGCTGCTGGTGTCCTGGGGGTGAGGGCACGTCAGCCTTGCCCTGATGGTGCTGGGCTCCCCAGTGCTGGGGCCGCTTGCTCACAGCCCACCCCCCAGCGCCTGAGGGGCAGTGCTGCTTGGTGCTCGCCATACCATGTAAGATGCAAAGATGAGGACTCGCTTGTGCTTGCCACAGGGCCATTGAGGGTCATCCAGCAGGTTGGGGTTATACTCCAGGGGATCCCCTGCATCACTCCCTGCAGGCAGAAGGCAGCCCTGACCCACCACGAGCCCCGAGCTCTGGTGTCCAGTTCCCATCAACCCAAGCCTCAGCAGAACCTGTGTAGCGCCCAGGAGCCGCTGGGGCTGCAGCTGTTCTCCAGGAACGGGAAGCAATGGTCCTGGGGTCTGGGAGGGGTCTAGGCATGGGTGGGAGGGAAGGATGTCCTGATGAGGATGGACCCCCCGCCCTCTGCCCCAGAGCCATCTGTGGACACAACTTCTCTTCACTGCCTGGCTGGGTCTGCTCCACCGCGACTCCCTCCTTCCATTCTGAAAGGCTGTACCCCAACCCCACGCCCCAAACCCGCCTCTGTAGACTGAGGGCTGTGGGCTCAAATGTGACTTATTGCTCTGCTGCCCCTCGGGGTCACTGGCCTGGCTGGCGTAGCCGCCGGTCCTGCCCCCATGCGCCTGGTTAGGGTACCTAGCTCCGTGCTGATCGGCGCTGACTTGGCAGCAGCAGGTTTGTATCTTGATGCTGGCATAGCCCGGGGGATGCTGGTCCGGGGCTGGGGTGGCGGGCCGTGGCTGTCTGTCTTTTGTGCGACCAGGGCGTTGGTAGGGTACAGGAACTTGGCGTAAGATACGACCTGGAAAGATAAGCACGGCCTCCCCGCCCCCACTCCCCTCTGTGGCCCAGTGCAGGCCTGATGTTAGTGTTCTCAGTAACAAGAACATTCCAGAACGTCACCCTCACCAGCTCTTATCTGGATCTGTAGCTCAGGAACCTTCTCCCTGCCTCTGATGCCCTTGACCTCCGACCACCAGTGCTGAGGGCGAGGCCCATTCTTACAGGGCTGTGGCTTGCTCCCACTGCCCATTGCATTTTAGAAGATCAAAGGGAAGCACAACTTCATGTGCTCATTTCCTCCATAACGTGAGATCTGCGCCCGCCGGCCTGCATGCACAGCATCAGCTCTTGCCTTTCCATCTGCTCCCAGCTCCACACCTTCCAGCTCAAAGACCATCTCGGAAGAAACAGACACGCCACCGGACGGATGTCTCTGCTTCTGGCTGTCCACCCTCAGGTCACTGCAACACAGGGCACCGGAGAGAGGCTGGGTCCCTCTGCCCGAGCGGGTGGGGCAGCAGAACCTCACCTCGCAGACGTGCGGGCACGAGTTCTCATTGGAAGAACAGCGGCACTAGATTCACTGGGTACACAGTGAAGGATGCTTGTCCTAAGAACTGTCTAGTCTCTCCTTCCCTAGAACCAGCCACTTCCTGTTAAAACACCGGTTGGCAACAATATGGCCCCACAGCGTGCCACAGCTTAGGCCATGCCCGATCTTTAGGGGTGTGTCCCCGACCCTGCAGTCACACTGGGCAGGAGGCTTCTCCACCCTGACGGCCATCTCCTTCTTCCTGGGTTACACGCAGGACACAGTTGCCTGGACTGGTCACAAGGATGCATGCAGTGCCCCCACGAGGAGACGTGTCTCGGCACTGACATTTAGGCAGCTCACACTGAAGCAAGGTGCGCACACACCCCTCCCGGAGAACCAGCAGAGGGGCAGAGCTTCTGAGAAGAGTCAGTGGAAGCTGATCTGCTGACCACCTTGTGAGGCTGCCAAGAGCCTGGTCCAGCCCAGCCTGTGCCTCCGGGGCCACTCACCTGACCCGCAGGCCTTCTCCATAGGGCAGGACCGAGAAGGCCGCACACAGGGAGCGCTTGGCGCAGATCAGCACAATCCTGTGGGGAGAGCTGGGTCAGAACAGGTGGCAGGTGTTTCCTGGGGAGGGGAGAAGTCCTTCCGGCCTAGACTCCGGTGACAGGAACCACCTCAGTTGTCCAGGGGACTCTCAGGCCAAGAGGCCCAGCAGCCAGAGTCAGTGGGTCTGGCCATGCCAGCTCTCACTGGTCCCCCACACGTAACACGCTGCACAGAAAGGGTCTCACCTGGCCCCTGGCAGGGTGGAGGCCAGAGGTCAGGACCCCAGTTCGAGAGGTGAGGCTTTGGAGGAAACATGGGGCAGAAGTGTGTGCCCAGAGGGCCGTTTGATTCGGGGAGCCCCTCCTCAGACACCCCGGGAAGGTGGGGGACTAATAGTGTCAAAAAGCATCCATTCAATGTCCCGAGCCAAAGCGACCCCTGAGGTGCCCCGGCATGGAGCACAGAGCAGGAAGGACAGCCTTCCCCCCTCTGGGATGGCTCTGTCCGGCCAAGCCCCAGTCTAGCAGGAGGACAACAGTGAGGCTCCCGCTTTTCTGGCTGGAGGACTGGGCACTCAGTACCCACGGAGGCCCACCGGGCTCTCAGGCCTGCTTAGTGCCTGCTCCTCAGGACTAGGCCCAGCCCCTCATACTGAGGGATCCAGGGCTGTCCAACCTATGGCCACTAATGGGAAGGGTGGATGCCTGTAGCGTGACCTCCCATGGGAGGGGGAACGGTGTGGGGACCCTTTGGGTCAGGGTGATGAGCTCAGATGCCTCAGGGCTGGCAGGGTGGTGCATGAGGGACAGGCGACAGGAGTGGCCCTCACCTAGCATCTGCAGGTGAGGGCCTCTGAAGGTGCACCTGCTGCCACGGTAGTGATTTGGGGCAGCCATGTTTAGGTTTTAGTCCACCGCCCCACGCCCCCAATGCTTCCTGGATGACACCAAGCCCTCTATCCTGGATGCGTCCCATCATGTCACCTGCTCCAATGTCCCTTCATTCAGCACCTCCACTAAGTCTGGTGTCCCCAGGGTTCTGGGGAGGGAGAGGCAGTGGGCTAGCCATGGACTTGGAGCTCAGCTAATTTGGAGGGAGGCCAGTACACTTGGAAAGGGACATGTATGGCTGGGATGCCGAGCACCTCTCTCCCTGTGGCTCCAGGGCAGGAGTCGGCCCCCAAGGTTTGATGGAGGACACGGTAGGCAGCCCCACAATGGCCGGTACCTGCTGTTCTTGGTGTCATACTGTCGCATGTTCTTGATGAAGTGAGTCTTCTTCAGGCCCTTGTGTCTGGGGGATCCGGGTATGTGCTTGGCTCTGCAGGTGAGAAACAAGCACTCATCCCTCCAGGACCCTCTCCGGCCCCCAGGCAAGTGGTGGCGGAGTGTGCAGGGCCTTAGGGCTCTCAGGCAGCAGGCGGGATCTTTACCTTTGAACCGAGGGACATCCCACGGTGTCTTCCAGGAACTCGAGGGAGCAGCGCTGGGAGGCAACTCGCCTTCTGTCAAGAAGATGTCACAGGGCTCAGAATACAGACCGGGACCATGCAGGATGGATCCAGTCAGGACGGGGGGCGGGGGCGGGGGCGCTGAGGGAGGAGTACAGCGGGGCCTCTGCAGCCCGTCGGACTTTCTCAGGCCCATTTACTCAGGTAGTGTGCCAGGTGGTGCCCAATGGCTCCCGCCCACCCGGGACCTCATATGTAGAGCCCGGCCAGCAGTCCCTGTGAGGCGCTGGGCAGATGCCCTGCAGCACGAGCAGCATCCACACTCCCCAGCCGCCTGGCCTCTGGCCCAGCTCGCTCTCCCGTTGACCCCGGTTACTGCAGGGATGGCGCCATCCATGTCTGAAAATCTGTTCCCAGTTGGTTTCACAGACCTTTGTCGGTGACTTTCTTCTACCTTCCTTGAAACACAAGGAAGGGAATACTACTACCAGGTGGATGGTATCATTACCCTCAGTTTACAGGTGGGGAGCCTGAGGGACAGAGCTGGGAAGGTGGATCTTGCCCTGCTGCCCGCCCATGGGGAGCTGGACTCCAGGCGACTCCGGCATTGGCTCTCAGGGCTCCTGTCTAAATGCAGCGCGCGCAGCCAGGAGAGAAACCACTGCTCATTAGCGCTTGCAGTGCCCATGAACTTCCTGCACTTGGTAAATGAAGAAAGCCCAGCGGAGGAAGGGCTCCTGTCTGAGGTCTGAAGACCACCAAGGCCGAGTGAGGGGTTCTGTGAAGGGGCTATAGGCCATCTGAGAACACTGACCCCCTCACCCCCACTGAAGTGACTACCCTTCTATATCGGGCACCTCACAGGTGCCAGTGCCAATGGTTCGGAACCTCCCCTGGGGCCCCTGGAGGGAGCAAGGCCCTGCCCTCACCCTGCTGACTTGTGATCTCTTAGAGGGCAGAGCAAACCCTGGGACACTGCAAGCTGTCCAGTGGGGGGCTGCCCCCTCCCGTGGGAAAGGAGGGGAGGAGAGGAGAGGAGAGGAGAGGAGCACCAGGCTGTGACGGGCGGGAGCCTGCTCTGACCTGGCTTGCACGTGCACACGTATTACGTGCTGAAGTGAAAACAAACACTGTGTGAGAAGTCCTAGGACTGAAAACGAGGGTCCTGAGGACTCACACGCATTGACTGAGCAGAAAAAGCTGCTCCGGACTGAGCCCCGAGTGTCCGGACTGAGCCTCCCTGAGGACTGGACTGAGCCGGAGCACTTTGCAGCCTGGCAGTAACCAGGGTCTCTGCTCGCCTGTCCGCCACCACGGCCACCCTCGCTGAGCTCTGGACGCTGAGCCCTGGACACTCATCTGACCTCACAACAGCCTCTCAGGCACGTAGTGCTAAAGCAAATCCATTTCATAGGGGAGCAAACTGAGGCCCAGAGAAGCCATGCCACCTGCTCAAGGTCAAAGAGCCATTGAATGGTGGAGCTAGGGTTCCACCAGGTCTGCTCCTACAGCAGTGATGGCGAACCTATGACACGCGTGTCAGAGGTGACACGCGAACTCATTTTTTTGGTTGATTTTTCTTTGTTAAATGGCGTTTAAATATATAAAATAAATATCAAAAATATAAGTCTTTGTTTTACTATGGTTGTAAAGATCAAAAAATTTCTCTATGTGACACGGCACCAGAGTTAAGTTAGGGTTTTTCAAAATGCTGACACGCCGAGCTCAAAAGGTTCGCCATCACTGGGCTAGAGTTTGGCTCAAAGCACCACAGTCACAACACAGATTCTGGGAAGAGAACCTCAGAATTCTCTCCATTCCTAGAAAACAACGGTCTAAAGCCAACGGCTGGAAGCCACTGTGCGAGGCTGGCCACCCTCCCATACTCAGCAGCAACTCCGCTGAGGCCTGGGGAGCAGAGAGAAGTGGACAGCCCTGACCCTGGGGCCTGCCAGCGGTCAGGGGGGAGGTGACCCCCAGACACAAGGGCAGGGCCCTGAGCTTGGCAGTGGAGCCCGAGGAGGGACAACTTCTACAGGGACAGGTGCAGCCCTGGGAGCAGGAAGGACATCTGGACGGGACTTGGAGACCAAGGAGGAGGGAGAGGCGAGGGGTGGAGGGACCTGGGACTGTGTGGGTGCAGCAGGAAGGCCCAGGGACACCGATTCAAACTACCTCCCAGCCTGCCCCCCGTCCTCCCAAGCGTGGGCCCTCCATATACTCTCTTCAGAAACGCAGTGCCCCTCCCGCCAGCCTGGGTCCGGGCAGGCTGCTGTCTGTTCACAGGGTCTGGCCCACAACACAGGTGCCCCAACTGTTTGCTGAACTGACGCCTAAAACCACACATGGGCTGCCCAGTACTCACACCCAGAGAGAAGAGCAAACCCGCACGTGCCAAGTGCTCTGGGCACAGCCCCCCCAACCAGAACCCCATCGCCCTGGCCTGCCTGAGGGCCAGGGGCTGGAGGTGAGGACACCAATGCAGCCACGGTGACCTCAGGTAAGAAGGGTCACCTCTGAACTCCAGGGGGCGGCGGGCACCCGGGGCTCTGCACTCAGCCCCTCCTGCACACCTTCAGGGCCAGCCTCAGGGTGCCACCTGCCTGGCCGGAGAAGGGCTGTGACAGCAGGCAGTCCAGGGGCCCAGCTCAGGAGCCCATCCCTCGGGGGAGGGCCGTGAGGGGGCGCCTCAGGGTCCCAGGGAGGGAGGGGCCAAGGAGGCAGGGTCTCTGGAACCTGAGGCTCTGCTTCTGGGAGAAGGAAGGTGTCTGGCCCCAGGGCTGAGCTCAGGGTGGGGGCTGCTCCAGATGGGCTGAGGGTTCCTGGAGGTGGACTCAGGAGGGAGGGGTGGCCACCTGGGCCGGGACAGGGCCGGCACAGCTCAGCCAGGGCTGGGGGCAGGGGCAGCCAGGCTGGATGGCAGCGCGGGAGGCCCCTGGCCCACAGGGTGGGGTGCAGGGGACAACAGGGGCGCCTGGGCGTCTGTCCAGGGGACATACCGGTGGGCTGGGAGGGGGCGTGTCCAGAGCCCACAGGCCGGCGTCTGGGGGTGGATGAGGGCGGAGGGAACCCCGAAACTCACTTTCAGGGCACCGACCAGGCTGAGAGCACCATGACCCCATATTTAGGGCTGGCAGGTTGAAGGGGACCATGCCGCCTATCTGGGGACTGACAGGGCCCGAGGACGCCCCATCATCATGTCTCGGTAGTTGACAGCGCACTGATGACCCGGCCCTGACATCTTAGGCCCATGGGG